AGAAGGATTGTTACAATTTCAAGGGAAGTATTATTTTCAATGTCAACAAGTCATAATTGCTGTAAATAACATAGAGGTCAATCATTACGTTTGTGGAATGAAAGAACAAGGTAACACATACATTTATAATTAGCTGAACAAATTTTAGTTTTATGGCTTATTTGTGCATTATATCTTGGAATAGCTGTGGATCTTCCAAAACCGTTTGTTAGTACGTCATTAACGTGTTATACGTATCAAAAGAAAAATGGACGAACAATAAAACGTCTAATGGATGATTGTATGTTTGGCAATGCGTGTTGTTACAGTGCTGAATTCACTGGTAAGTATATTTAATTTTTATTGATTAAGGATACGACAAAATTAATGAAATAGTAATGATGATTGTACTAATAATCGCGACCACATATATTTAAGAGTAATCACTCTCAAAATACATTTAATGGGAATAAGACTAAAAGGTCGCCTTAGGATGATAGGAAGGCTATATGCTATTAAATGGGAATATTGATCCGTTCAATGAATAGATTGAAATGGGAGAGTTGCTACTGAAAATTGATGGAAGTCATTCGCTATATCTTTCATGTGATCTTTAGGGAAAAGATCTTTAGGGCGATCTTTAGGTGATCTTTAACTACAGTAAGAAATTTGAGAAATCGTTGAGTAGTTGGTGAGTAGTTTATTGTACCGGGTTATCATGAGTGGTTCATTGTAGTGGGTTATGGTGAGTAGCTTATTGTAGTAGGTTTTGGTAAGTAGGTTATTATACAGTTTCCGCACTGATATTTAGATGATGTTTTCTTTTCCTGTGATTGGCTAATGATCCACTATAATTGTATTTTTTTCCACAATTCGGTTCTTTGCATTCGTAAATAAACGGTTTGCCGTGCGTTTTCCTGTGTTCTCTATATTCTTTGCGATTGTTCGTGTGAAAAGTACATCTGCGATAAGAACACTCACGAATTTCGTTTTCTGAAAAACTCTTATAATATCGGGCGATCATGAAGAATAGAATAAACAGTATGATTTTTGATAGGAATTAATTTTAAAAAATAGCCGTTTCTGTCACTAATTACTCTTATAATATGTTGAATAGTAAAGAGAATGAAAACAAAACAGATCAGAAAGCCAATGTCAAAATGAGACTATAAATTGGCATCTGTTTTGATGGCAGCATTGAGGATGCCGCGCAATTTCTGATACTTACACACCTTTTCGTGCATTGTATATGCCCGAATTGTGGATGTGCTGCAGTTAGGTCTGAGACGAAAATTTTTAAAATATTGTCTCACTCCGTCAAAAGAAATGGACACTTTGACGAGTTTAGCTTCGTTTCCTGCATGACTTTTCTGAATTGCAATATTTATTGAATTTTG